CCTTTCTTCTTATACCCTTTTCCTATTTTTTTCCTTTTTCCATTATTTCATTCTTTTCTCTTTTTAGCAATGCTGCATGTTCTTCTTCAACACGAAATTAGTGTTAACGATGTTAACAACTAACTGAAAATGAAATATAACAAAAAGCATCAATACCTTATAATGAAATATATTAAGAAATACGTAAATATATACGTAATAAAAACGTTTTGTAAAACTTATCTGATTGTGAGAAACGCAGCTTAGTTCTAGCGTCATTACTGTACGAAAAAGCGGAACTGTCACACAGTAAACTGTTACCGTTATATATTATTAACCGCCATCCCATGACTATTTTTCTTTAAAAAAAGAATACTGTTACACTATTAATCGATTAACCTTCGATACACACTTAACCTTCGATACACATAACCGTCAAACGCGCGATCTCCGTCATGACAGCCGCTCACGAAGTAAGCGACGCGAGAGAACCAATCAGCATCGCGGAAAAGCGACAACAATAAACTTCGATACATTCGAGTGTCGATTTAACATCTCCTTTTTTAGAAAGGATGGTTGTAAAAATTACAAAAATATATATTTCGACTTGATTGTGATAGAGACTATAACCATACATGTACTGAAAATGTGTGCATTTGCCCGACTCGATTGATCAACTGGTTTTCGAGATATCATGGGAGCTAATTTAAAAAACATGGTTTTGAGAAAAATGCGTTTTTTGTATTGATTATGTAGAGATAATTTTATTTACGATCATTCTAGTCCACAGGTCAAACTCGATCGTTAGTTAGACATATTTTCTATATCAAATACATGCAAATATGTAAAAAAAAAATTCGATTTTTTTTTACCCGCTAGACTAGAATACCCCCTTAAGGCGTACATTACCGGTACCGCGTACCAAAATACGGTGTACCGGTACTGTACACTTTAAGTACGTACGTACCGATACACATAGTACGTCGTACGCTCACCGTACGAAGTATACCGTGGAAGTATTTTGTTATCTGAGATATATATGTAACGTTTTCTTGTTGTACGTAATATTTTATTTGGAATTAAAAATCTGTTTTATTGACCTCGATCAAGTTCGGTAATCGATTTAGGATCTTCTTAATATTAGACCTGTTCTTTTTGGCTGAACGTTTGCATCAGTTCATCTTTCTTCCTTTTCTCTTCAGAGCTCCTATCATGGAAAAAATCGGAATAGATTCCGATCGGAATTCATTCCGACATGTTCCATAATAAGTACCCAGGAGGAAAGAAGAAGAAGAAAGATGAATTGGTGCAAAAGTTCAGCCAAAAAGAACAGGCCAATTATTTAATATCTATAACGATGCCCAATTGATAACATGTCCTATTATGAACAACAGACAGCAGTAAATAATATGTAATCGTCTCAATAGAAGGCACCACTGACATGATTTGTCTTATGGCGAACTCGATTGGAAGCATTAGTGCGCACTTGGTGCATATTAAAGCCGTTGTATACTGATTTAATTTGAGTATAAATATGAAATGCAGATATTTCGAATTATGATATACATATTTTACTCAATTGTACAATAAAATGTATTTTCACAATTTATATTTCACAATTTAATCGATTTCTATGTTTATTTATAAACATATCCTAGCATTATCTTGTGTATGTACGACGGCTTTAATATGCACCAGCGCACTGAGTGCGTCCAATCGAATTCGTTATTAGTGTTCCTTTAATCAAAGTCTGGCCATCTTTTCCCCGGTTTGTGATTAGTCCGATATTTTTCATCCATTCCATTTAAATGAATAATGAAAATATATTATGCTTTTACTTTAAATGCATGATGCATAGTCATGGACTTGCTGTCGTAATATTTATGATTAAACACTATTAAATTTTTACGTTTTTTAAATTTTAATCACCAGCTAGTCGCCTGAACGTGCCAGAATGTTCGTAAAAAACTATGAAACTTATAGAGCGTCTCTACAGAGATGTAAAGTTCCATATATCGAAGTAGCGCCACAGTAGCGCGGAAGTCCTCCATTTTGGACCTATTAACCATACCTTATACCACTGATGAGATACTATTAAAGACCGTTAACCCTGGGCAAATTTTCGGTGGTATAAAAAGGGCCTCAAGGGCCCGGAGGTAATCGAAGAACGCTGACATTATCGACAATTGATATAAATTTGCTATTATTAACATAAATATTTGACTAATACGTTATTAAATTCATGATATTTTATTACATAAATGCTCTATAAATAAATATGCATATTTGTAAAGCTATAATATCCTATATATTGCCGAAAAATTACAATTTTTTCTCTGCAGTTATTATCTTTGTTGATAATCGAACTTTGACGATAACACTGAAATCAGAATTTTAAAGAAAAATCGAGTATTATTGAGTTTTAAATGCACATACACCGATAAACACATCTACTAAACTAATAAATCATAAAATTAGTACAATATTATCAGTTTTTTTACTCTTAATCACTTCAATATTAACAAGGACACGAACTCCCATAAGGATGTCGGTCTTTAATAATATCTCGTCAGTGCTTATATCAATAATACTAAGTGCTTATTGGACTACAGACGACTAAATTGAAATGGTGGTCGAAATAGCCAATAGGAAGGTTGTCGGCATTTTGGCTCATTGTCAGATCAAAGAAATGCGCTACTTTGATATATAGAGCTTTATGGAGGTGCAATTTACAGCGTCACTGTAGCGTAAGATGAAGTAAGATAGCACGATTTTTCTCTCGCATAATTTCGATGAAAAATGGCGGCTATTTTAGGTGGCCAGACTCTGATTAGAGGGACACTAATTTGTCTTAGTTTAAAATAATAAAAATACAATTTTGATTTGTCTCTAAATAAAACAATTGCCCTAGATGAATTATAGTTATTTTTGATAATTTTCAATAAAAAAATGCAATGACTACTTTTTCCTACTGGCAATTCAAATGGCGATTTATAATGGCATTTAATTAGAATTACATGATGCATTTCTGTTTCTTGATTTCTTTTATTATTTTCAAAACATTGAAAATATACGTATATTTAATTTTGCATAAAATGAGCTAAAATAATAAGCTTATTAAGGGGATCCTAAAGCCGTCTGTATTACCGATTAAATTGTAATTTTTGTATAACAAATACTTTTTTCTCTTTCACAGATTCGAAAATCCTTTTCCAGGATTAAAGTATACATTAAAGACACATTAATACATGTTTGTGAGGTGGAGTTTATGCTGAGAACGATAAAAAATTTTTCTTAAGATTTCAATTTTGAAATTTTTTGTCGTCTCGGCATAAATTCTACCTCACAAACACATATTAATGTGTATACTTTAATCCTGGAAAAGGATTTCGAATCTGTGAAAGAGAAAAAAGTATTTGTTATACAAAAATTACGATTTAATCGGTAATACAGACGGCTTTAGAATCCCCTTAAACAACAAAAACAAGAACCTATTTTAATTTCTTTGGCTGACTTTTTTAAAAATTTTCTTTGACAAAAATATTAAAGGAGATAATAATTTATTGTCAATATTTTTTAAATCAACATTTGCTTTTATAAACTCTCAATTGAAAAATTGTAATAAGATAAAGTTTTGTAATTGGTTAAAAAAGAAAGCAATTTTTATAATTTTGTTAAAGACGTGTATCGCTGTTAATTATAAATGTCTTAATTAAGTTAAAATAATTTTAAAACAAAAGAATTTTTTAATTAAATTTTTCTTGTCAACTAATTGTAAATTACAATCAGTTTTTTTTTTACAAAAATTGCATATGTCCATTAATGTTGAGGGATAGGACTGCTCGATTTCGATTAAAGAATCGATTCTGAATTATTTCCTGAGTCGGACTGAACCATTTAGAAATCGGGACTGAATGAATAGATCTGTTAAAAATTGATTCAATTAAAGAATCGTATTAATTTTTAATAATATGATATAATTTTAAAAGCGATAAAATAATTAAAATACGATTTTTTATTTGTCTCTAAGTAAAACAATTTTAATTTAAAAATCTAGGTTTAACACATATATAATAGTTATTAATTACTAACATAATGTCGTATATAAACGCCGTTAAATTCGATTTTATAACAACTAGTGTTACAAAATTAAATTTAACTAGTATTTTTATACATTTTGTCAGTAATAATTAGTTAATAACTACGGGGATATTATTAAACTCGATTAATGGTGACGTGAAAACCGCGCGCAACATGCTCTTATGTCGTTTAAAGATTAAGAATATGACAACCGCTAACTGTATAGCACAGCTGGGTTCAGAAACTTCCCCCAGATGCATCCAGATATCACTTTTTATCTTTATTTAACATTCGGTGAGCAACAGAGATAAAATAATATATCTTGAATTTCTAAATATAATTCTGTAATAATAAAAATTTGACTAAATTATTGCGTTCAGAAAACAGTTAAGACACAAATGACATAACGTTATAAAAATGTATAGTATAACATACGTAACATAAATTATTCATTGTTTACGTTACGTTTATTATTTATTTATTATTAGTTACTGTAATACGTTTCGGTATGCGGTGAGAATGCACTTCAACTAGTATGTTCCTTGAAAGTAAATTAAGACAACTCTCGATTAAAGAAACCGAAAATCGATTATCATTAAATCATAAATGAATCGATCCATGCTTTAAACTCAGAATTTGCCAAATTGATTTGGAATATAGACCTTTTGGGGATAAAAAAATTCGTTTTTTAAAGAATCGAAATCGAACATCTCCGCTAAAGGGTTACCCATGAGAGAATCTGATACTATCGCCATTTTCAAAGATAGCATGCGGTATTCAGATATTTACTCGATAAGTCTTTAAATACTAACCATAACACTTGTTATTTGACCACTCTCCACTTATCGCGTCTGCGTCGTCTGTAGCATGACAACACGTACGCACATCACGAACGTGCGTTCTGCCGTCTGCGTCGTCGTGTATGAAACATGGAGTGGCGAACAGTGGTAGTGATAGTGCTGATCGTGAGTCTTTGCTTCTTTATCGTGCCGATCAAAGTAGATTTCAATAAAACTGTGAAGGATGCGGAACTGTTCGCGAACTACATAGCCCGATATAATAAATCCTACAAGAATGATTCCGCGAAATATGTAGAGCGATTCGAGCGTTTTCAGGTAAAGATTATCTGTAAGCCGTGATTGTAGAAATAGCGATCGGCTTAAATGGTTGCGCAATAGCATTATTGTCCCTCTCGAATTTAACTCACCGTTTATTCCATGTATACATTGACACATAATTTAAATTATGTAAGTTTCACATTAAGGGACTTTTTAATTAAATGATAATCGCTTATTAATCGCATTCCAACGCGTAAACAACATGCACGCACACGCGCGTGTCATTCGTATTTTCGTTGTGATATGATGTAATACTTATTTAGCTCTACTGATAGGAGAAGAGTAATAATTTTTTTGAAAAAAAAAAAAAACTTTCTTTGACAAATATGTTAAAGAAGGTAATTTATTATCACTATTTTATTATCAATTTATTACCAATATTTTTTCCAACGTTTAATTATCATTTGTCTTTCAATTCTGAATAGAAAAAATTGTAGTAGGTAAGATAAAGTTCTGAAATTGTTGGAAAAAAATTCTAAACCTGAATTTTGTTCAAGTACCTTTTATTGTTATTTATTTAAATATTATAAATGCCTTAATTAATATCTTCCTTAAAGAAATATTAAAACTAAATAATTTTAAAACTAAAAAGTTTTGATTTTTTTATTAGATTCGTTAGCTAAATTAAAATCAATTTTTTATAAAATATTGTATATGCCGGTTAATGCTAAAGGAATGTCCGCATTTTTGCGACAGTAAAGCTTGTTTAATTCTAAATTCATTACAGTTTTACTGGGCACGTTCTGTTAAATTATATTCACATTTATTAATTTTTTTATAGTTACTGCGCCATCAATAATATCATTATTATTATTTTTACCGTTTATCTTACATCGAAATCTTTAATTACATAATACAGAATAATTATACATCCAGAATGTGTACTACGTATTAAATAAATTATTAATTCATAATAAAAAATAAATATATGTGTACTGTGTACTATAAATGTGTACTATAAATTAAGTAATTATGTAATAATAAACTATTCAAAAAAAAAAAATTACGTGATAACATAAATAGAAATTAAACTTTGTAAATTATTGTAGATATACCCTATTGTAGATATAGCTTCCTTTTCTTACAATAATATTAATTAGGGTACAATTGCAGAAATCATTGCGACATATCGAAAAGCTAAATAGTTTACGATCGTCGCAAGAAAGCGCATACTACGGGCTGACAGAATTCTCCGATTTATCCGATGATGAATTCATGGAACAAGCGCTAATTCCCGACTTACCTTTACGAGGTAAGTTTAATTTTAATAAAAAAAATAATGATTAAATATTTAAGTTTGAAATATGCAAGAACAACCTTTATTAAAGTTCCTTAAATAGGGGAACCTGGGGTATAATGGTTATAGTTAGATTTTTTCAAGTTTTAAACATATTAAAGATAAATAAATCAACTTTGTTATATATTAAAATATTTTTTAAAGTATTTACTATAAGGAAAACTTAAGTTTTACTGCAAAAGTATAGATTAAAGGACGAAATTATTGTTTTGTGAGAGTGTGTCGTAACCTCACTATGTCATTTATGCAAGGCATAATGGAGCACCACGGAAAACTTGTCTATTTTTAAAAAATTAATATTGAGAGAACATTGCTTAAAAGTGACTTAGAACATATAATATAAATAAAAATACATTGTTGCACTTTTAATTTTTAATTTTTTATTAATAATTCTATATGTGATGCTGAGTGATACATTATA